AACCTCAGGTTAGCCTAAACTGTCAGATTTCGAATGCAATCGCTCACTATTTACCGTTATGACACATTATTGACCGCTTTTGCGAACAGACATATTCCGCAATATGTCACCGCTATTGCGCGATAGCGTAGTGGACGATAGCGTCGTGGGAAGGGACCGCTAACGCTATTAGCGCCGCTATTGCAGGGCTATTTACCGCTATTTATAACAGTGGATAGCATATCTGTTAGCATTTAGTATTTATGCATCTTCGATTGAGTGTGTGTGTGTCTTCAAGTATCACAATTAAAAAAAGAAAAAAAAAACGCCCAGAAACCGCTTAGGCACCCGGGCTTCTAAGCGTTGGGCGCCGGGTCCGGGGTCTAGAAACGCTCAATGTTTAATGTAACATTGCTGAGAACCATAATCAATCCTGTATCGACTGGGGTTCCTTTTTTTTTAAAGATGGTTGAAGAAGACTCATTATATTGTAGCCAATTCTTGAAAGATGAAGATGATCAATGTGGATGAAAAAATTTGTAAAGACAATGCAACTGACTGTTATTCTAAAGATTAAAATCACTCCTTACAGCGTAGTGATGAAGAATGAAGATGAAGAGGTTGCTACTTTAAGGGGTTGCTTGGGATGCAGACATTGACGATCCATCACTGGCATTAGGTAAAAGATTCAGAGATGTGAAAGATTTTAGATTTTGTTTACAACGTAGATGAACCCTGACGAAGCTCTGGTAGTCTGATTTGACCTCTAATAGTCGTCAATCTTTTAAAATGCCCTCGGCGAAGACTCGATCCAGTCCATTCATCATGTACGAGCTCTAATCACATTCAAATCAAAGTCGTCTTCCAGCTGTTCCACATCATCTCTTCTACTATTTGTTGTATGTAACATCCTACTAGGTAGTTGTGCAGTGTTTGCTGAAGCTTTCTAGCAAACAAAATGTGTAAATAAGGTGTACTCGTATCTACGATGTTTTAAATATCGGCCAATAAGCCGATATTATCGGTCATTTATCGGTTTTGGGGGCCTTCCGTTATGATAAGTTCGATTCTAAATAGGTTATCGTTTTTGGATGTTTATCGCGGATAATGCGACGATAAGGTAAGTTATCGGCCGATATTATCGCCCAAAAATTAAAATTATCGGTCTTTGGTTTGAGTTTTGATTTCAGGCAACGGGCACATATTCAATGCACTTTAAACTCGACCCGACCCGAGTTTCTACTATTGATTAGTGATCCTAAACATAATTATTTACATTTTGGTATGTTTATATTTCATTAAGTATGGTTAAATTATATTTTAGAATATTATATTATGTATATCACCATCCGGTAATGTCACTCCGATAAATACTACTTATCCCCGATATATCCCCGATATCCGCTATCCGATATGAATTTTGACCGTTCGATAAATCCCTGATAACCGATATTTAAAATCCTGCGTATCTATAATACAGCTAGCAAACAAAATATCATTCAATTGTCTCATGGTTACCGCCATGAAAACTAACTATTTATATAAATGGTTGAATATAGTGATTATGCAACTTAGATGGTCAATAGCTCATATATATAGCTATTTAACAAAGTTAAATAAAGAAGCAAGAAAAAATAAATAAATACATGGGGCATTAAATAAACTTTTTGTGGAATAAAACCAGATTCACACTAAGTTTTAAGGAATAAAACCAGATTCGATAAGCTACATTATCTGTTAAAAGATAGAGTGAAGTATAATGTCTCGTACCTTACTCATGGAATCATCAGAATCATCAGTGCAACACTTGAGACAATCTGACACCAACTCTGCAATCAGATAACAATGAAAGGTCAGAATTATTCCCTAATACAGCCAGCAGACAGTCTGAAAGAAATGCTCACAAGTGAAAGTCATAAAAGGTAACATCTAGATCCACATACATGTGAACAATTCCGTTTGTATTGGTGGGAAAGGAGATGCTAGGTGCCATTCTTTACATGTGCACAGCACGTACTCAGTCAAAAGAGAGGCCATTAAAAGAGCGAGGCTTGAAAAGTTTTCAAAAAGCTAACTAAATAAGGGCATGACATCAACAATTGAATTGAAAAAACTAGTAAATAATTGATAAATAATGAATTCATAAATTTTTCTTATACGTCACTAGTGATGTGCTTTATTTTTATTGCCAGTACTGCATGTCCCAAGCTATGATAAAGGAAAATTGTGTTAGGTAACCGACAGCCAGCATAAACTATAGTTGGATCCACATGATATGAATCCTATAGAAATATTCATTGGGCGTCCCCACTGCACACGTTGCATCGATGTTACCCCGATGCAATGATAAGTAAACAATGGTGATTTACTAAGGCGTTCCTTTAAAGCGACGCGTTATATCGATGTCACCCCGGTGTAATGATAAGTGAGCAAGGGTGTTTTAAGAAACTACAGTTCTTTAATAGGTTGCCAAATCATCGTAGGCATAGACGAGAACGCCACAAGGGAGAAAATGGTAGGAAACGTTTACAACAATATAGAATTAGGTTAGCTATTTGGAATATAGGTACTCTTATCGAAAAGACGATGAAATTAGTAGATATCATGATTAGAAAGATTAGTATAATTTGTTTACAAGAAACTAAATAGACAGATGAGAAGTCTAGAGAAATTAAAAAGACTATATATAAGATTTGATACGCGGGAAAAGAGAAGAATAAAAACGGAGTGGAAATACTTGTAGATAACATAATAAAAGAAAGTGTTGTAGATGTAAAAAAGGTTGGAGATAAGACAATACTAATAACAATTATATTATGTGTAGAGGTTATTAATATGGTTAGTCCTTACATATCACAAGTGAAGTTGTTCGAGAATAGTAAAAGGGTATTTTGGGATAATTTAGATGAATTGATACAAGAAACTCCGGTAGGAGAAAAAAATATTTATAGGAGACCTTAATCGGCAATGTCGGTTAGGATAATAATGGATATGAGAGAGCACATGGAGGTTTTGGTTATGAAGATAAGAACGATATGGGTGAAAGAATTTTAGATTTTGCTATGTCATATGATTTGATAATAGCCAATACACAATTTAGGAAAAGAGATAAACACTTAATAACTTTTAAAAGTGGATTTAATAGCAGTCAAATAGACTTTTATCTTTACTTGAAGGGTGGATAAGTTAACATGCAAAGATTGTAAAATTACACCGGGAGAAAGTTTAACCACACAACATAGGTTGATGGTATTAGACATTTCTATTAAGTGGAGTAGAAAAACTAATAGGAGCAAGCAACTAAGAACTAAATGATGAAACTTGAAAGGAGTGGATTTAGGTCATTATAAAGATTAGATGACGAAAGAAAATGTTTGGAATATAGATAACGAGACTAATATTATGTGGAATAGTATGTCTTCTTGTATTAAGAATATGGCTAAAGATATACTAGGAGAATCTAAAGGTTGTAGATTAGATGGTAAAAAGAGTTGGTGGTGGAATGAAGAATTTTAAAAAGAGATTAAAGAGAAGAAAACATTATATAAAAATTGGCAAAAGTGTAAGAGTGAGAAAAACTTTGAGAAATATAAACTAGTAATGAAACAAAAAGAACAGTTAGTGAGACTAAATACAAAGTGGTAAAGACTATGAGAGTTTCTATAAGAAGTTAGAATCCAAGGATATATATATATATAAAGAGAGAGAGAGAGAGAAATATATAGAAACTTGGTACCAAGCATAAATTTTGTGTTTAGTAGTGAGGTGTCTCATTCCTATCCACTCTCCAGCTCATGTGAATATAGTCCCCCATTTGAATGAGTGAATAGAAATGAGTCACATCACTACCAAGCACAAAAACTTGTGCTTTGTACCAAGTTCCTCTATGTGTGTGTGTGTATATATATATATATACTTGCTATTTGCTAAGATGAGAGAAAGGAAGAGTAATATAATATTAGATTATCAAAAGCAAAGATCAAAGAGTTCTAGTAACTGATGAAGAAATACAAGAGAGATGGATGAGTTATCTTCATAGTTTGTTTAACAATCACATAGGTGAGCAATATAGAGAACCATATAGTGCATCATAGAAAGTATAGATATTGCCAAAAAATTGGGGTTAGTGAGGTTAAAGATGCAAAGAAAATAAAAAGTGAAAAAGCTGTAGGACCAAACAACATTTTTATTGAAGTTTGAAAATGTCTTGGAGATATAGACTTAGGATAGTTAACTAAATCATTTAATAAGATTATTGAGACAAAGAAAATACCCAATGAGCGCTGGATTAGCACCTTGATACTAACATATAAGAATAAATGAGATATATAATGTTGTTCAAACTATCGTGATATTAAACTTATGGGTCATACTATGAAATTTTAGGAGAAAGTAATAAGCAAAGACCAAAAAAGGAGACAAGTGTATCCGAAATCAATTTGGTTTTTATGCCCGGGAGGTCAACTATGGAACCTATTCATACATCGAGACGGTTGATGGAGAGATATGGAAAGAAGAAAAAGGATTTACATATGGTTTGTATTGATCTAGAAAAATCTTATGATAGTGCTTAGAAAAATAATATGGTGGATTTTAAAAAAGATACATGTATATTGATGTGATTAAAGATAAGTATGATAAGAGTAACAACTAGGGTAAGAATAAATGAAGTAGAGACTAGATCGTTCCTATTACCAGTGATCTACATCAAGGGTAGGCCTTAAGCCCACATCTTTTTGCATTAGTTATAAGACCAACTTAGACATATTCAAGATCAAGCCTTATGATGTATGTTATTTACTAATGATATCATATTAGTTGAAGACTAGAGAGGGTATAATATCAAAAGTAGAAAGGTGGAGATAAGTCCTTGAAACTAAAAGTTTTAGAATTAGTAGAACAAAAACAGAATACATGGAACACATATTTAGTAAAACTAAAAAGAGAAAAGTGCATATAGCACAACATTGATAACGAAGAAATACCTAAAGGTAACCATTATCGTTATTTCAGATTAATCATTCGTCATGATGGTGAGTTGAGGATGATCTTGTCTATCGAATCAAATCCGGATGGTTAATATG